CTTAGCTCTCTGTGTCGCGTGTGCTCCCCTCGCATGCGAAGTGCCCCGAGCCGGTGTCGTGGCAAGGGGGGTGTTAGCGAGTGGAGAGTCGTGTGCTCCAGCGCCTGAGTGCTGGGGCTGTGTGATGCATATGTCACGCCCTTTCCACGTGGCATGCCACGTGGAAAGTAGTGCGTGACATTGAGTTCGTGCGTCCTTAGCGCGCGTTTTCCGTCTGAGGATTGAGTTACAAGCACGATCCACGCTGAGGCGGGACGTGTGTGCTTTCACGCTCTACACTCTACATCCTCTTCACCCTCCCTCCCTCAGGAGGCCCTTGCTTGCCGACGGGAACCCAGGGTACCCAGCCGCCCCAGCTGCCGTCGGGCAGGTGAGAAAGGTGTGGTGCTAGCCGTCCCCATGTTACCCCCTGGGCGTCTGCTTCTTCCTATCCCTCGTTGTCATGAAGAAAAAACTCGAGAAAAACAATCGCGTGACTCCATCTCCTCCTCCGGCCTCAAGGAGCGCTTGAAGCAGCTTTTCGGGAGCCTCGGTCCCGCCTCATCAACATGCTCGCATCCGCCCTCCTCCTGTCTGCGCCCGCTGCGGCAGCCACGCCTTCGAACGCCCGCGTGTGGGCCACCGACGCGCTCATGGGCGCCGTCGAAGCCGGCCTGAAGCCCGTCATCGCCGACGTGGTCTGCGGGATCCCGATGGATAAGCTGCTCGGCCACGAGTCTATCGAGGAGGGCCCGGTCGCTATCGACGTCAAGTCCTTTGCCCTGTCGCGCTGCTCGGTCGGCGGCATCTCCGTGCGCAACCAGCCCGACGGCCTGCTCGTCAAGGTGTCGGGCATCTCGGCGCACGCAGAGGGCAGCTCCCTCGCCAAGCAGGCCGGCTGCACCTTCATGTGCTACGACCCGATGGACGCCTCCTTCTCCGCCGAGCTGTACGACTCTGAGATCACGATGCTCATCTCGCTCGGCGCGGCTCGCGGCGTGCCCGATTTGGCGGCGCGCTACGTCAACACAAACTTCCAGATGCGCAACATCCAGCTGCACGAATTTAAGGGCGTCTCCCTCTTTGCAAACATGATCACCGGCGTCATCGGCAAGGTGACCAACCGGATCGCCAAGAAGAAGGTTGGCAAGGTCATCGGCACGCTTGGCGACGTCCTTCACCACCTGCCGCTGCACCACCTGCCGCTCGGCGAGCCGCTCGCAACGGTCCTTCCCCGCGCCGGCCACCTCATGCTCGACGCCGACGTCACCTCCATCGGCTACAAGAAGCCCGCGTGGGTCATCGACATCCTCACCGTCCTCTCCTCGCCGCCGGCGGTGGGCGCGCGCTCCTATCCTTACGCGCCGACCGCTCTCCCGAGCGCCCCGCCGGTGGAGCACCGCTCGCAGCAGCTCATCGCCACCGTGACGCCGTGGACCATCAACGAGGCGCTCTTCGCGCTCGAGAAATCCGGACTCCTCACCCTCCCCGTCACCTCCGAGGCGCACGGCCAGTCCGTGCCGCTCACCTTCTCCACCTCGCCCTCGCTGAGCGTGGTGGGCGACCGCGCCGAGCTCACCCTCGCCAACGTGGTCGCCGGCCCAGCCTCGCGCACCAACTCGACCCTCACCATCGGCGGCACGTCCCCCACCCTGCTCATCGACGGCCACGTTGCCAAGGCGCGGTGGAGCGGGCACGCCGACGCCTCCCTCCGCGTCTCCGGCTGCGGAGCTCGCCAGCTCTCCTTCCGCGCCGCGCCCGCTGCCGGCTCAGCCGCCGCGGCCGCCGGCAAGGGTGAGGTGGCCCTCGAGATCAAGTCGGTGCAGGATGCGCCGTGGTGGGAGGTGCAGTGCGACTCGGCGGGCGCGAACCTCGTGCTCGACGCGCTCGGCGTCGAGAACGTGCACAAGTCGGTCGCCTGCGCGGCGACGGCCCTCGAGGCCTTCGACACGTCGGGCAGCGTCCCCGCGTCCGAGACGCTCTCCTGCCTGCTCGACGCGTGGGCAAACAAGCTGGACCTTGTCTGGGGCATCGTCAACAAGCTCGACGCCCTGCGCCCGCCCGGCTTCCCCGACGTGCTCTCCTTCCTCTGGGACGGCCTCGTCGAGCTCATCTCCCGCGAGGGAGTCGGCGACGCCGCCGCCGTCACCGCCTGCGTGCAGGACCGCTCCCCGACCGCCCGGCTGTCGGGCATCTACCGCTGCCTCCTCGACGCGACCGCGCCGGCGATTGACAAGGCCTTCGCCTCGGCGGCCGACCTGCGCACGATCCTGCTCACCCCCGAGCTGAACGCGCTCGTCGACGCGATGGCGAGCGGCGAGGCGTCGACTGCGGCGCCGGACGTGCTCGCCGCCCTCAACGGCGTCCTCGCGGGCCAGAGCAAGCCGCTGCAGCAGGTGGCGGACGACGCGATGGCGGTGCTGCGCGACCTGCTCGCCGCGTCGCACGAGTCGGCCGGCGAGGAGCGGACGCAGGCCGTCGTCGGCACCCTCAAGCGCCTCGTGACGGTGGCGTGGTCGGCACTGCAGCAGGTCGACGTCGCCGTGGACGGCGCGCCCATCGGAGGATCGTACGACCTCTCGCAGCTCAAGGCGGTGGCCGAGGCAGCCAAGGCGGACCTCGAGGCCGGAAGCGCGTTTGCCTGGACCGTGCGCGCGGCCGACGCCGACCTGGTCGGCACGTACACGCGCTCGTCCGTCTCGTACGTCGCCCACCCTCCCGCCTCGCTCGAGGCGGAGATCCCGCTCGGTGTCCTCTTCTCGACCGCCTCGCGGCTCGCACGCGAGACGGCGCTCGGCCAGATGGCGCTCGGCCGCCAGGGCGGCGCGGACGGCACTTCGGCGGGCTCGATGCGCGTCGGCTTCACCTCCTCCGCGTCGGGCATCGAGGGCAAGGCGCAGGCGGACTGGCGCGCCGTGCTCCGCGCCGCCGTCGCTGTGGCGTCCCCTCGCGCGGCGCACGTGATCGACATGCTCCCCGGCTGGGTGACCAAGTGCGTGGCCGGCTGGGCGCAGGGGTCCTTCTGGGGCTCGGCCGACGTTGAGGTGCAGGGGCGCAAGCTGCTCGCCCTCGAGAGGGAGGCCTTCGACGCCCTGACCGCCGGGCAGTCCATGCTGGCGGAGCACACTGCGGCGGACGGCTCGTTCCACTGGTAGAGAGGCTGCGGGCGCGGCGCTGTGGCGCCCACCCTCCTTCACCCTTGCTCGCGTGGAGGCCCCCTCGCTCTTGGAGGCGGAGGGGCGAGCTGACACGCAGCAGGGTGTGTCTCGGTGTGAGAGATCCGCTCACCCCCCGGCCCACATGCACACGACGATACACCCGGGGGGGGGGGGGGCAAGATATGCATCATGAACACACCATGGAGTTGGAGAAGTTTTGTCTACTGTTTCTTGAATTCTTGAATAATTCACTTCACTTGAACGTGTTGTTCAATACTGCTCTGAGGTCACAGTACATATGCAGCTCTCATGTGTACAGAGACCCCGCGCGCCGGGTCCACGTCCAGGCCCAGTGGGCCTGAGGCGTCCTCGCGCTGTGAGAAGCGATACCCGCCCGCCGCCGCACCCGCGCCTAAGCCCACTACATCAAGACTGCGATAGAAGCGCTTCGCGCCGTCGCAATCGGCGCCACCGCCTCCCACGCATTCGTACCAGGGTCGTACCGCTCGACCGAGCTGAGGGCGTTGTAGCCGGCATCCTGTCCGCCCACCGCATACAGCTTGCCGTCCAGCACCGCCACGGCGTGCTTACACCGCGCTGTCGCCATCGGCGCCACCTCCTCCCACGCACCCAGCGCCGGATCGTACCGCTCCACCGAACTGAGGGCGCCGGCGCCGTAGCCTCCAACAGCGTACAGCTTGCCGTCGAGCACCGCCACGCCGAAAGCTACCCGCCGTACCGCCATCGGCGCCAACGCCTCCCACGCATCCAGCGCCGGGTCATACCGCTCGACCGAGCTGAGGTCACGGATGTGGCCGCCGTCCTTGTTGAAGCCTCCCACAGTGTACAGCCTGCCGTCGAGCACCGCCACGCCGAGACCCCACCGCCCCGTCGCCATCGGTGCCACCGCCTCCCACGCGTTCGTCACGGGATCGCACCGCTCGACTGAGCTGAGGTGGCCACCGTTGGTGCCTCCCACGGCGTACAGCCTGCCGTCGATCGCCGCCACGGCGTGGTTAAACCGCGCCTCTGCCAGCGGCGCCACCGCCTCCCACACATTCGTAGCAAAGTCGTACCGCTCCACCAGGTTGGAAGGTGCGCCGTCAGCCACAGTCTCGCCGCCCGCCGCGTACAGCTTGCCATCAAGCACCGCCGTGCCGACATACTTTCGTGCCGTCGGCATCGGCGCCACAGCCTCCCCCTCCCACTCGTTCGTTGACGGGTCGTACCGCTCCAGCGAGCTGAGGATATTGTTGTTTTCATCGCGGCCGCCAAACACGAGCAAGCGCTGCCTCTTGCGCTTCTTCAGCGTCTCCTTCCAGCCGCGGCGCCACGCGCGACACGTCCCCTTGGCGGCGTGCTCCTTGATCGGCAGCTGGGCGAGGATGTGCGGGGCGAGGTCCGGCGAGAGGAGGACCTCGGAGAGGACCCACTCGGGCTGCTCCACGAGCCGTGCGGCGTGCTCCTCCGCCACGCGCAGCGCGGCGGCGCTCGCGCCCGCCTGCGCCTCGATGATGGCGCACAGCTGCGCTGGCGAGAGGCCCGCGAGGCGGGCGCCGATGCGGTGGGAGGCCATCGGCGCGGGCGGCGCCGGGCAAAGGCAACGCGGGTTCGCTCGCAAGGGTGTGCGGTACTGGCTGCGCGGATGTGTTTGCCGGTAAGTAAGTCCCAGTCGTTGGTCGGACTGTGTTTCGCCTTATCAATGTTCGTTTACATTGAGGTGATGTGGAGTCTGGCCGCGCGGCGGGCGGCGGGACGGACGTAATAGTCAATCGATTATGCGATCAGGCGTAACAAGCGCGATTGCACAAAGGGTGGAAGAGAGGGTCTGGCCACCGCGGGGCGAGGCAGGCGGTGGGCCAGATGCCGGATCCGCTGTGCGCGTTTGTCGGTCAGGGCGCGGCGCTGACCGCGGCGGCCTGGGCCGCGGCGGCGGCGAACGCCGACGGCGGCGGACCATTCCAGCGGCTCGGAGAGGGCTGGGGCGCGGCGTTGCGGGAGGCGTGGACGGCGGAGGCGGTGCGCACTGTGCCCGCGGAAAGGCGGGCGGCGGCGGGCGACGCGGAGGAGCTGTTCGCGTACGCCCGTCCGCCCACGAAGAGGGAGAGGCTCGAGAAGGGCGAGCGGCACGCCGAGCAGCACCAGGGGTGGGCCGATGCGCCGAAGGAGAAGAGGCGGAGGGCGGCGGAGGAGCAGACGGCGGCGCAGGCGGCGCTGCTGGGGCCGCTCGCGGCCGCGGACACCACGGCGTCGCTGGGAGGCGCGCCGATGCGGAGGCCGAGCGCCATCGTGGCGGCGGTGCTGCATCAACCCATCGCGGCGGAGCGGGCGGTCAATCAAACAATCAACCCATACTACCGCACTGGTCCTTTGCACGAGCCTGGCTGTTCGCATTTTCTTCACCTTCCTACCTAACCTAACCTAACCTGGTCTCCATCTCTGTGGGCGCATACAAGAAGGGGAGAAGGAAGAGGAGAGACGCCGGTGAGGACGAAGCAGAAACTAGCGCAGACGAGATCAGGGCAGACCCGGGGACTGGGGAGCCGGAGCAGACGGCATCGGCCGCCGAGGGAACGTTGGGAAGAGGCACGAGGAGGGCGGCGACCTCTCGACCGACTATGGAGGACCCGTCGCCAGACGACGCAGGGCAGAAGACGGTGAGGCGGAGCAGACGCGCAGGGCGAGACGAGGGAGGGAGCAGGACTTTGCGGAGATCAGCAGGAGGGGATGTACGAAGAGATTAGGAGCAGCAGGGACCCGAGGGACCATGTGGAAGACGGCTAGTGCTAGTCCCCCATCGGGAGGACGACCCCGGCTAGTCGCCGACCACACCCACAAAGAACCCTGCACAAAGATCGCAAGGGCGGGGACCTGTTCCTTTTTACCCATCTCACAGTAGAGAGGTGTCCGTTTTCATTTATTTATGTGGGCGCATGTTGAAACACACGTGCTTCGACGTGCACGCATGGGCCTTGCGGGGCATGGCTCGCGCGAGCTTGTGTGCTCTGTGCGTATTCAACGAGAAAGTGTAAAGAGATCTGACACCACGTGCACGTGACAGAGACCCGTGTCCTCGCGCTGGGAGAAGCGATACCCGCCCGCCGCCGCACCCGCGCCTAAGCCCACTAGTCCAAGACTGCGATAGAAGCGCGTCGCGCCGTCCCCATCGGCACCACCGCCTCCCACGCATTCGTACCAGGGTCGTACCGCTCGACCGAGCTGAGGGCGTTGTAGCCGGCATCCTGTCCGCCCACCGCATACAGCCTGCCGTCGAGCACCGCAACGGCGTGTTCCTGCCGCGCCGTCCCCATCGGCGCCACCGCCTCCCACGCATCCAGCGCCGGGTCGTACCGCTCCACCGAGCTGACGATGTCGTCGTCGTCGTTGTAGCAGCCTCCCACAGCGTACAGCTTGCCGTCGAGCACCGCCATGTCGTGAGTCTGCCGAGCCTCTGCCAGCGGCGCCACCGCCTCCCACGCATTCGTCGCGGGATCGTACCGCTCCACCGAGCTGAGGATGCCGTCGTCTTCGTTGCCGCCTCCCACAGCGTACAGCTTGCCGTCGAGCACCGCCACGGCGAGCTCGTCCCGCGCCTCCGCCATCGGCGCCACCGCCTCCCACGCGCCCACTGCCGGATCGTACCGCTCGACTGAGCTGAGGAAGTGGTCGTCGTCGTTGAAGCCGCCCACAGCGTACAGCTTGCCGTCCAGCACCGCCACGGCGTGATCATACCGCGCCGTGGCTGTCGGCGCCACCGCCTCCCATGCGTTCGTAGCCAAGTCGTACCGCTCCACCAGGTTGAGAGTTGCGCCACCCTCCCTGCCTCCCGCCGCGTACAGCTTGCCATCAAACACCGCCGTGCCGACATACCTTCGTGTCGACGGCATCGGCGCCACAGCCTCCTCCCACTCGTTCGTTGACGGGTCGTACCGCTCCAGCGAGCTGAGGATATTGTTGTTTTCATCGCGGCCGCCAAACACGAGCAAGCGCTGCCTCTTGCGCTTCTTCAGCGTCTCCTTCCAGCCGCGGCGCCACGCGCGACACGTCCCCTTGGCGGCGTGCTCCTTGATCGGCAGCTGGGCGAGGATGTGCGGGGCGAGGTCCGGCGAGAGGAGGACCTCGGAGAGGACCCACTCGGGCTGCTCCACGAGCCGTGCGGCGTGCTCCTCCGCCACGCGCAGCGCGGCGGCGCTCCAGAGAGGCGCCTGCTCGTCGATGAAGGCGACGAGCTGCTCTGGCGAGAGGCCCGCGAGGCGGGCGCCGATGCGGTGGGAGGCCATCGGCGCGGGCGGTCACTTTACAACGGTCCCGAGCAAAGGCCAAAGGCTTGGATTTCGCTTGCAAGGGTGTGCGGTACGGGCGCTTTTCACCTTCGATACATACATTCGCTCGTATACTGTGTCGTCACCCGCGTATTCAAAGTGCAAGAATTTTAGCGGTCGTGTGAACGGTTTTTGCTCGCCTTCCCTGGGACCCCGTGTTGCGTGACTCTGTGCGATTTCGGGCCCGGGGTTGTGCGTTTGTGTTCGTGTGGCTGGTCGTGACACGATCGTCGTGCGTCGGCAATGGCAACGCGCGACCCGTCAGATTCGGATGCGCTACGACCGCGCCGCCCGCGACGACCGCACCGCCCGCGACGACCGCCGAGGCGGAGGTCACCGCCGTTGAAGTCTCCGAACCCAGCGTGACGCCGCCCGCCACAGCGCCGCCCGATGAAGTCAGGAATGCTCTCCCCGCCCCGGACGCATCTGACGATGCGCTCGTCGGCGTCCGAGACTGCTCGTTCTCAGCGCAGCGCTCTTAGCGAGGATCATGCCAGGTGCTCTGTCGGCGCATGCCCTCGAGAATGAGAGCCGCAATCTCATCGATTTGCGACACATAGCTGCTCGATGTCTCACCAGGGCGCGACCTTTCGCTGTCCCTGGGGCCATCGGGTAGACGCAGCCGCTCAATTTTCTCATCATCGTACTCCTCGCCATCGAACATGTGCGTCATGTAGACGGGGACGCATCCTGTCGAACGGATCTCGGGGGGGAGACCCTTTTCTCCGAGTGGCGTTTTCGACTTCGCGATGGCATCCTTAACACACTTGGGTGCCTTGGCTTTGCGCATGGTAAATTCGGTCGCACGGAACGATAACTCATCTCTCGGGACGCTAGACACTCGCCCTAGGGCTCTGGTCTGGCTCATTGACCCGATATCATCATGCCAACCCGGGGGAACACTAGACATCTCCCCCGGGGGGTCCGCGCTACAGGGGGGGAAGGCGCGCGCCCGCGCGCTTCGCCGGGTCCTGCCTCATCTCCCCCGGCCCCGCCTCTCGGGACCAATGCAGGGCTCCCAGGGCGCGGCCCCTTCGCCCTCGGCGGCTCAGCGGCCGAACCTGTGGGCGAGTGCGGGGACGGCGTTGTAACGGATGCCGCTGCCGTCCGCCTTGAGGAGGATGTCGTCAATGGCCGCTCCGACGACGAGCGAGAAGAGGCGCTTGAACATGAGCGCGCCCAGCTTGCCGCGCGACGAGGGCTTCATTGGGGCAAACGTAGATTTCCTGCCCAGCGTAAGGATATTTCTTTCATTTATTTCGTCTTTATTTCGTGCCCCACCACGGCAAATTTGCGAGAAATTTCTTCGCCCTCAAGTTTCGCCCCTTTCCGTTTCGCCCATGTTGGACACCCATGTTGGACCAGGCACCGTGCGGGCCTGGGCGGAGGCGGCGCAGATCATCTTCGCGTTCACGCCCAACTCAGCCGCGGCGGAGCGTGTGTTCTCCATGCTCAAGTCAATGTTCGGCGACCAACAAATGGAGACCTTGGCAGATATCATCCAGACGGCCTTAATGCTCCGCATCAACGAGCGCCGCGTGGGCTGAGTGAGCACAGTATGATTGGGAACAGTACTCGTATATGAATAGTAGGATCTTGTCACAGGTATGGTAAATTTCCGGAAATTTCTCCTTCCGAACAAGCCTGTCATATTTCTCAAAATATTTCGGGAAATCTACGTTTGCCCCAAGGGCTTCAGCCCTTCGACCCGCAGGGAGGGCATGCGCGGCAGTGGCACGTCCTCGTTCGCAAACCGCCACTTTTCGACCGTTGTGTAGCCGAACTGCGTGAGGACGTTCATCACCTTGCCCGCGCATCGCGAGAGGAGCACCATGAACTTGTTGGTCGAGAGGGGCCCCTCCTGGAAGAGCTCCTTCATGCCGCCCTGGCGGGAAAGCATCTCGATCGCCCAGATCCCATCGAGGACGGTAATGTTGATCGGCTTGTGCGGGACGGAGGCGACAAACTCCTCAAGGCGCGCTGCCGGAGTTCGCCACCATCCGAGACCTGGGCGTCTTCGCATGGCGGCCGCAGATTTAAACAAAACAACTCTCTCTTCACAGTAGACTAGGTAGGTAGAAAGGTGAAGAAAAGCCACGCTCGGACTCGACAGGTGCAAAAAAAACGCGACGGCTGCCGGGTATTTGACAGACCGGCCACATCGATGGCGGATCGTCCCGTCCCCTTCATCCAGGTCGACCCAAAGACGAACAAGCTGGTCGTCGACCCCAAGGGCAAGCAGGTCCTCGAGTCGATCCGCGGCAGCGTCGGCGTCTGCTCCGTGGCGGGCGTCTACCGCACCGGCAAGAGCTACATCCTCAATCAGCTGGCCGGCCGCGACTCGGGCTTCGGCGTCGGCTCCTCGGTGCAGGCGTGCACCAAGGGCATCTGGCTGTGGGGCGCGCCCATCGAGCGGCGCGGCTCCTCGGCCGCGGCCGCCGGCGCGCCCGACTATGTGCTGCTGCTCGACACCGAGGGGCTGCAGTCGCTCTGCCAGACAGAGGGGCACGACGCCAAGATCTTCTGCCTGGCGATCCTGCTCTCCTCCTTCTTCCTCTACAACTCGGAGAAGGCCATCAACTCGGCCGCCATCGACCAGCTCTCCCTCGTCGCGCAGCTCACCAAGAAGATCCGCGTGCACGCGGCCGGCAACGGCGGCGGCGGCTCGGACGCGGCGGAGCTGGCCGAGGTGATGCCGTCCTTCCTGTGGCTGCTGCGCGACTTCCAGCTCGAGCTCGAGGACGAGCAGGGGCGCCCCATCTCCCCTGACGCCTACCTCGAGCAGTCGCTCCGCGCGCAGCCCGGCAGCTCCGCCGCCGTCCAGGAGCAAAACGGCACGCGGGCGGCGATCCGCGACCTCTTCCCGCGCCGCTCGTGCGTCACGCTGCGGCACCCGACGCTGGGGACCAAGCTGCCCGACTCTGCGCTCAAGCAGCTGCCCGCCATCGACAAGCTCCACCCCGCCTTTCGCGACGGCGTCATCGACCTCAAGCAGCGCGTCTTTGGCGAGATCCGCGCTAAGGCGGTCGGCGGCGCGGCGGCGACGGGGCCGATGCTGCTCGGGCTGGCGGAGGCGTTCGTGCGCGCGGTCAACGAGGGCGCGGTGCCCACCATCTCGACCGCGTGGCAGGCCGTGCTCACCATCGAGTGCCAAAAGGCGCTCGACCAGGCCGCCGCAATCTTCCGCGCCAAGCTGAGCGGCGCGGCCGAGGCGGAGCCGGTGGCGGGCGAGGCGGAGTGGGCGGCGGCGGTGGCGGCGGCGCGCGACGAGGCGCTCAAGCGGTTCCAGAGCGTCTCGGTCGGCGAGGGCCGCGCCGCCTTCGAGGAGAAGCTCGAGGCGGCCATGCGGGACGAGCAGGCGCGGGCCGAGCAGGTTCGGGCGGCCAAGTCGGAGGCGGTGTGCGCCAGGGTCGCGGCGTCGCTCGGCGCGCGGCTCGAGGCGGGCGCGCGGAGCGGCGCACCGTCGGAGCTCGCCCCGCTGCTCGAGCAGACCCTCTCCGACTACCTCGCCCAGTCGCACGGGCCCGCGCAGCAGGCGGGCCTCCCCGCGGTAGCAGTGGGCAGCTCCCCTCAGCTGGCAGCTCTCCTCAGCTGTGGTGTAGCTCCTCAGCTGTGGTGTAGCTCTCCTCAGCTGTGGTGCAGCTCTCCTCAGCTGTGGTGCAGCTCTCCTCAGCTGTGGTGCAGCTCTCCTCAGCTGTGGTGTAGCTCTCCTCAGCTGTGGTGTAGCTCTCCTCAGCTGTGGTGTAGCTCTCCTCAGCTGTGGTGCAGCTCTCCTCAGCTGTGGTGCAGCTCTCCTCAGCTGTGGTGCAGCTCTCCTCAGCTGTGGTGTAGCTCTCCTCAGCTGTGGTGTAGCTCTCCTCAGCTGTGGTGTAGCTCTCCTCAGCTGTGGTGTAGCTCCTCAGCTGTGGTGTAGCGGGCCTCTCCTGCGGCTCATCGCGTCTGTGACACGTCCATGACACAGCTCCTTGGCATGACACATCCATGACACCTCCTTGGCATGCCCCACAGGCTGGCCTCAAGCAGCTCGTGGCGTCGGCGCGCGGCGCTGTCGAGGCGACGCTCTCTAGATGCCGGACACACATTCGCCGGTCTCCCCGACTCGCGCTGGCGAGGACACGGACTCGGCTGCCTCCCATCGGAGTAGGAGCCCTCGTAGTCGCTACGCCGCACGCTCCCGACTGCACACCCTCCGCTCCTTCGCTGCACCCCCTGGGCTAGGCGACCCTCGAGCGAGCGCGCCGTGATGCGGAGGAGAGGGCGAAGGAGGATTTGCGGCGGGCGAGCGCGGAGCACGCGATGGCGCTGCAGGCGGCCAAGGCCGAGACCGCCGCCGCCGCCGCCGCCGCCGCCGCCGCGGAGAGGCGCGCCAAGGCGGCCGAGGCGAGCCTTGCGGCGACGCAGGCGGAGCTGTCCTCGGCGAGGGCGGATGCGTCGGGCGAGGTTGCTGGGCTCAGGGAGAAGCTCAGCGCGGCCGAGGCGAAGCTCAAGGAGGCGGCGGCGAGCCTGGCGGCCGAGAGGGAGGCGAGCGCCGCGGCGGGCCGGGAGCGGGGCCAGGCGCAGGGCGAGCTGCGCGCGAGCCGTTCGGCGCTCGAGAATGCAAAGGAAGACTTGGCGCGCGAGAAGAAGATGAAGGAGGTGGAGACGAAGCGGCTGGCGGACAAGGTGGAGGATCTCAAGGAGCGGCTCGCGGCGGCGGAGGCGGTCAACGCCGCCGCCCCGCCCCCGCAGCCAGACGACGACGAGGCGACCGCGCCCGGCAAGCGGCACCGGTCCGGCTCCGCGGTCCGCACTCCCTCCCTCGACCCGGTGGCCGAGGCGCCCGAGGCGGCCGAGGCGGCCGAGGCGGCTGACCCTGCGCTCGCCTCGTCGAGCGGGACGAACCGCCGCTCGTCCGTCATCCCACCCTCCCAGCTCGCGGTGCCGGTGCTCCAGTCCAAGCTGCGCCAAAAGCTCGGCTCGGGCGCAAAGCTCCCAAAGAAGAAGCAGGAGCTGATCAACCTCGCCATGCAGCATGGCATCTCCGGCTGAGCCGAGGCGTCGAGGGGGCGACACAGCGAAGCGGCGCGCGCGCATTGCCACTGGTGACGTGTTGTCAGGGTGGATGCGCGGTGCGAACCTGCGGGCGGGGGGAGGAAGTCCGAGAAGCGAGAGGCCGAGAGCGGCGGAGTCCAGAGGCGGGAGACGCGGGGCAAAGGATGTTGCAGAAACTCTGGGGGTCGGCTGTGTGTGCCAGACGACGGCTATTTTGTCCGGGGCGCTGGGGGGGTCCCTGAGACCCTGGGTGCGCGGCCGGGGGCCGGGGGGCGGCGCCGCGGGGCCGTGACAGCCCTGTGGTCGCGCGGGCGGCTGTGACCTCATCCTCTTGTGACTCAACTTGTGTGCGCAGTGCGCGGACAGTGGAGAGGTTTGGACTGTTTCTTGAGGTAATTTGGCAAGGTAAAGGACGGGACGCCAAACACGCACACGCACACCCACCCAGGCGTGTGTTCATCGTCCCACTGGCACTTGGCACGACCACGAGAAGCTTGATGCGCGCTGCATCCTGCACCAACGCGTTGAGCGCGACCGAGTGACGCCTGTGCACGACTCTCTCTCCGTGCGCCGCACGCTAGAGCGCCGAATCACCTACCTCTGCGCAATCTCCGTGGCGACAGTCACGCGCACACTGCACCCACACCCCCTGCCCTTTCACATGGTTCATGCTCCCGACCCCTCCTGGCGTCCAGCCGCTGCTACTAGCATTCGCTGCCGCTGCTCGAGTCCCGCCAAACGCCTCGCGAAGATGGCGCAAAGCGACTGGCCTACTTGCGCTCCGGCGCGACTGCGTTCTTGGCCGTCGCGACGACTCGGCCCTTGACGCCGAGGCTCAGCTGGAGCGCGCCGAGCGCCTCGGAGAGCTCCTCGCACCGCTCAGAGGCGCCGCCTCCCTCCTCATCGACGTCGAGGAGGCACTCGCCTAAAGGGCGAGGAGCGAGGTAGCAGGTCGAGGCCGGGCGGCACGCGCGCGCCGGGGGCTGGGCGGGCGGAAACACCGAAGAGGGACATCTGCTGCTCGAGCAGCGCGAACGGACTCACCTCGCTGCCGCTGCCACGCACGTCCGCAATCCACTGCTCGGCGACCTTCCCGTAATCGGCGCCGAACTTGGCCGCAGCCGTGCGCACTCGCGCAGCTGCGCGATCCATCTTGCTCTGTCCGAATATGTCGAGCGGCCCCGCCTCGCCCTGCTTGAGCTGGGCCTCGAGCGACGAGAGCGCCTCGTCGAGCTCCTCGCAGTTGGCCGAGTCCTCAACCAGGCACTCGTCGAAGAGCGCCAACTGCTTGCCGAGCAGCTCCTCGCAGTCCACCTCGCCGGAGCGAGAGCTCATCGCCTCCATCACCCACTCTGCTGCTGCCTCGCCCTGCGTGCTGCCAAACTTGTTGGCCGCCGCAACGACCCGCATCGCAGCCTCACGCACCATGAGCTCGGAGGCATCCGCGCTGAGGAGGACCCGGGCGGCGGGCGGCCGGAGCGCGGGCAGCGGCGCGGTGCCGAGCTGGACAATGAGAGCAAAGGGGGTTGAGAGGAAGGTGAGGGCCATGATGAAATGCTAGATGAATGGAATCTGCTCGCAAGAAAGTCGGCGTTTTTTTTTTTGACAGGGAGGAGGTGGCCCTGAGTTATGTGTACGCCGACTCAGGGTGTGTGGCAGCCAGCTGGCTGTGTGTCTTGTGAGCCTGTTTGTGTCTGTGTGTCGCTCGTGCGTGTCGTCATCATCTGTCCAGCGTCCACCCATACCGCGTTGGTGTCCAGTCCGAGCCTGGCTGTTCTTCACCTTTCTACCTACCTACCTAGAGAGAGAGAGAGAGAGACGAGAGAGAGAGAGAGAGAGACGAGAGAGACGAGAGAGAGAGAATGAGAGCGAAGATGAGGAAAACAAAAAGGAAATCTCGGAGGCGGGAACGATCCGCACAGACTTGTGCGGGGACGGACGACGCACCCACGGCGATGTCCGACGCCACCTTTGCAGCAGCCTCCCAGCCGCCCCCGCACACGCTGGAGAAGGCCGCGAGCGTCCTCGCGGCGCACCAGGAGCTCCTCGACAAGGCGCTCAAGCAGCAGCAGGCGCGGCGGGAGCAGCAGCGGCTGTCGGTGCAGCTCGATCGGCAGAGGTCTCGCCGGCACCTCGCCAGAGGCCCCCGCGCGCGCCACGCTCGCCCTTCCAACTGCTGATCCCTCGCACGCCCCGCGCCGCCGCAGCTTTGACCAGCACCAGGACGAGCGCGTGGAGGCTCGCCCCGGAAGCCCTCTCCTCTTTGCAACCGCCTCCCCACGCGAGACGCTCATCAGCCGCCGCCCCCGCCTGGCAGGCCATTCGGAGGCAGATGCTCGACCTGACGAGGTCGCCGCACGGGCCGCACGGGCCGCCCGTCGCGCACATGCAGCGCACGCAGCCAGCGCAGGGCGGCTTCAGCCTGATGGGAGGGCTCGCCACGACGAGAGAGGCTGCTCCGGGCACAGACTGGGAGGGCGGGTCGGCGGGCTCCGGCTGGTCGCTGCTCGACGCGCCCTGCGTCGCGACGTGCTGCGTGGTGGTCCGCCCCGCCGAGGCCGTCGACCGCTGGCTCTACACCGACTACCGCGACTGGCGGCGCGGCAACACCGCCGTGCCGTGGAAGCTGCGCGGCGTCTTCTTTATGGACGGCAGCGCGAGCGGCGCGGCGCAGAAGATGCAGGGCTGCTACGTCCTCGACGGCGCGTCCTGGACGCCCGCCACGACCAGGCGTGGACCACGCATGCGCATCTACCGCTCGAGGCCGCTGACCGCAACGTACCCCGCCTCGCTGCGCGGCCTGCTCCGCTACGCGCTGCAGTCGTCGCTCTGCTGCGCGTCGGTCGAGTTTCGCTGGGAGAGCGACGAGCTGCTGCGTGCGCGCGCGGTCCCCTCGCTCTTCTGCGGCGCGATCCCGTGCTTGGGCGGCGCCTACGACATTGTCGCGGCCGATGGGCTGGGCGACAAGGATGCCCCCGAGGGTGGCGTGGTGTGGCAGGTGGTGCGGCCGGGCACAATGCTGCTCGACCAGCAGGAGAGCGGCGCCGCCGGCCTCTCGCGCTTCCCGCACATACAGAAGGAGCTGCAGGGCGCCAGCGTCGGCGACTTTATGCTCCGCAAGATTGTCGCCGCGAATGGAGAGCGTGTCGCCTCGCAGTGGCCGTACTATGCGGACGCCGCGACGGAGAGCCATCTGGTGCGCGCCTGCTGCGGGTGCCCCTGCCGAGGGCAAGACGACGGTGACCCGGAGGCGGACGAGGAGTACTAGGGGCCGGCTCGGTGGCGCGTCGTGCATTGTAGGGACTACGTCTGCCAGCTCCCACGCCAGCTCCGTCGCCAGCTCCGTCGCCAGCTCCGTCGCCAGCTCCGTCGCCAGCTCCGGCGTCGCCAGCTCCGGCACGAGGTCGCGGTGCGGCGTGAAAGCCACCTTCACATTCGTCGCTCGGACGCTCGCGTCGCTGGTGAGTTCAGCATCGCCGCTGTGCACGAGCCTCTCACTCGCCGCCTTTGTTGTTGGCGAGAAAGCGCCGCGGTTGAACGTGGGATGCGGCGTGTGTCATTTCTGGCAGACGTGGGTCACTTTGGTCACATCACCCTCTCTCTCTCTCTCATCACGTATCATCTAATATACGTCATACGAACGTTTTGGGGGCACTTCTCTCTTCTGCACTGCCACTGGGCACTGGGGGGGAGCCGGGTAAAAAAATCTCGCGGCCGCCTGTACAAACGTGTGTTGAGCCTGGGTGTGAACTGGGGGTCTGGGCGAAATAACGCTGTTCAAAACTTGTGACGCTGTGTTCACGCTTCATACGTAAGGCCCAATGAGCCCTAAAAATCTTTTTTCTGATCGGGATTTCACGATCTGATCGGGAAAGGAAGGAGTGTGTTGCTAGCCGTCGCCCTCGAAAAAGAAAGAAAACACAGGGGCCAGGGTGAGCCCGCTTGTTTTTCTTAGTACTGTGAGCCGGTGTGTGTGCCAGTCCGCGCCAGTCCGCGCCCTTGTCGTGCCAGTGTGCTGTGAGAGAGGCTTGTATTTTAAGAATTCTTAGTCCCAACTTCTTGGAAAGTCGCTGCGAGATGAAAGAAAGAAAACACAAACCCACAGCGCATTTTGACCGCGCAAGATATCCAAAGGGTGGCCTAAGGGCTCTGCTCGCAAGGCGCCCGCGTCGCAGACTCGGTACCATTGACAAATCTGTTTTATACCCCCACACGAGCAAATAGCAAAATCCGAATACCGTGCACGAACTGCGTGATGTGGGCCGTGGACGGGGGCAAGCCCTCAGCTGGTGCCAAGACATTCGTAAAATTGAAGCCAGGAACGTCCGCCAAATCCGTGCTTTCGGAGCAACTGAGGGAAAGCCGCTGATCGAGCCCAGCGTGCCCGCGGCCGCCTCCCGCGCACCGCCGCTGGGGACGACACGCTGCGGAATCAGATCGAGCCCATGCACCGGGCAAAGAAGGACGCTGCAGAAGCGGTTGGAGAGGCAGCCGGCGTCTGCCGTCACAACGAGTCCCAGCGCTGGTTGGACATGCGCGTCGGCTCGCCCGAGGACTGCTGTCGCGACCCTCCCGTCGTGCCGCAGCCTCCGACGAGCTCTGCAACCGAGGAGAGTGAGGGTGCGCCTCCCCTCACTGCTGGCCTGGCTGCGCACCGTCGAGCGCACCGCCCCACAAAGCACCCCCTCGAGCATCTCTACAAGTACAAGTACAAGGGCGACCTTCTCCAAGTCGTCAACGCGCCCGGCGGCTCCGGCAAGACTTTAGCCTTGGCCACCCTCCTTGCGGAGCAGGAGGAGATCCGCTCTCGGTCGGCAACGTGGCAGCTAGTCGATCGGTAGGCTTGACTTCCCTGAGTGAGGACAGGAGAGAGAGAGCTTTTGTGGTGTTGGTGTACGCAATAACGGGACAGGGTAGTCGTTCTCTCTAAGCTCCCCTTCTAGCTCTTAACATGAGCTGCGCCCTGTGTCCGACCCCTTTTGCGCAGCAACTTTTAGGCCCTCCAAATTCGGTTCGGAGCGTAGCGGAGTGGGCCCCGAGTTTGAAAAGGGCGACGGACGCTTGCGTCCTAGCCTCCAACAACGCCTCCCCGGCGCAGAGGGGCCCCCGGCGGGATGCTCAACCGCTCCACGCCACGCCGCTCGCGGCGGTCCTCTTCCCAGCTCCGCTGGGTACATCGCGTTATTTAAAATACCAAAAGGAGGGCTACACGAGGCCCTCTACCGGCTGGGGCGGCGCATTGCGTTATTTAGCGGCAAGGTGCTGTGCCTGCTTGCCCGCCTTTGGCAGGCTCTCAACTCTGCTGGCGCGTCCGCCGATCCGCCTGTACAGCCAGACAACGCTGGACGGGCGGCTGTGCAGCGCTCCGTGGTGAATGCGGCTGGGGCTCCTCTCGCTACTGCCGCTCTGCCTCTGCCGGACGGCGGTTCCCGCCGTCGCTGATTTCCCAAAGTGGGCCTCTGACACAGCGGATGCGTTGCCGAGTTTTGAGGAGCTCTTCCGCGCGCTGCTGAGCGAGGGGCCCGCGCAGCTGTTTGAGGGGCAGCACAGCAGCAGCGCACATAGCAGGGTGCACCGACCGCCGCCGCCGCCGCCGCTGCCGCCGCCGCTAGGCAACAGCAGCACGGCTGCTCAGCGGGAGGTGCTGGTGCGGATCGGCCCATTCGCCGAGCCGTACCCGTATGTCGCGGCGTGCGCGCGCGGCTGGTTCGATTGGGCCACTGCCGACGTTCGTTATCGCGTCGAGTGCTCGGTGCCGCGCTCGGTCGGCTCGCACGCATTGGCGCAGCTCGACTCGGGGCTGCTCGACCTGTTCCTGCTCGACTCGACGTCGCTCGCGACGGCGCTCGCGCGCGGCGTCGGGCTGTCGCTGCTGTACATTAACCGCGTCGTCAACACGGACGAAGCGCTCGTCGCGCGCACCGTCTCGCGCACAGCGCCGCAGCAAAAGGACATCCGCTCGCCCAAGGACCTCGACGGCCTCACGGTCGGCGTGCCGTTCGGCTCGTCAGCGCACTACCACCTCTCCTTCCTGATGGAGCTCTTCGAGGTGCAGATCGATCTCCGCTTCCTTCCGCCCGACGACCTCCTCGCCGCCTGGGACATGGGCCTCATCGACGCCGCGTGGGCCTCCAACCCGACGCGCTCGCAGCTGCAGGCCGCCACGGCGGGGACCCGCTCCCACCGCCCTTCCCTGCCCGCTCCCACCGCGCGCCTCTTGCGACGGCGCCTGCTTGATCGATGCAGGCGCGCGGCGGCGAGACTCTCGTCAACTCGGGCCTGCTCGCCGAGTGGGGCCGGCCGACGCTCAACGGGATCGTCGGGCGGAACGCCTTTGTGGACGAGAACACGGCCTTTGTTGCGCGTGTCGTGCGGCTAATGGCGATGCTCGACACGGCCTGGCTGCGGGAGGAGGGGCTTACCAAGGCGGCCGAGGGGCTCGTCGCCGCCGACGCGAACGCCGTCCTCGACGCAGATGCCGACGGGTTGACGGACGCACAGGAGGGCGACGGCGACGCAGACGGCGACGGCATCCCGGACCGGTTCGAGTCGAACTTCGACGACGCAGACAGCGACGGCATCCCCGACGACCTCGACACTGACTCGGACAGCGACGGTCTGCCTGACGCTGTGGAGGGCACGGGCGACTCCGACGGGGACGGCATCCCGGACCGGCTAGAGAGCAACAGCGTGGATACGGACAGCGACGGCACGCCCGACGCCCAGGACGAGGACTCGGACAATGACGGCCTGCCCGACATCCTCGACCCCGACTGGGCCACCATCGCCGCGGCCGGCGGGGTCGACTCGGACGGTGACGGGCTCTCTGACGTCCAGGAGGGCTGGAGCGACTCCGACCGGGACGGTGTCCCGGACCGCCTCGAGTCGAACACCGGCGACAGCGACGGCGACGGCACGCCCGAGTTTCTCGACCCCGACTTGCACGACGACGGCGCGGACGACTTCATCTTCGACGGCGGGGAGGACCAGGTGAGCGAGAGCGCCTCCCAGAGCTACGACGCGTCGGCTAATATGCAGCAGTGCTTGCGCGAGGCCGAGGCCGCGGGCGAGGGCGGCAGCGCCGGCTTCTCGATGGTGGCGCGCGACTCGTTCCTCGCCTCGATCGCCGACGCGATCGGGCTGAACGGGTCCTCCCTGCCCGACCGGCGCGAGACGTTTGCGCAGCTCGACCAGTCGCGGTTCCTCACCGCGACGCAGCAGCTCTCGTGCAGCCAGCTCGCGCTCTCCGACGCGTGCGCCTTCGACGAGTCTGCGGCGGGCGCCCTCTCGCGGGCCGCCGCCTTTGTGTACGAGCAGAAGGCGGTGCCCACCCTGCTGCCGCACGGCCGCCACCTGCTGCGCGAGCTGCGGACGGGCCACCTCGACGAGCGGCTCCAACTGCCGCAGACCCGCGCATTCTTCCAGGCGGCCGTCCGGGCCGACGTCTTGAAGGCAGGCATCGCGCCGCCCACGCCGACGCTGGGCATGCTCCGCTCTGCATCGCCGGGGCCGTTGCCTGCCCGAGACCCAACGGCGGCCGCCACCGGCGCAGCGTGCAGCGCGCCGACGCTGCGCGTGCTCGACGAGCGTGAGCCGTCCACCCTCACAGACGGCTCGCCCGCCGCCGGCGGCGTCTCTTACCCGGCCGACTTGCGGTGCGAGTGGCTCGTGCTCGGCCCTGCGGAGGCGGCGCGGCGAGCAGCGGCGCTGCGCAGCGAGCCCGAGGACGGCTTGGAGGCGCTCGCGGTGGCGGTGGCGGCGGCGGCGGTGGAGACGACCCGACACAAGGTCGACTACGACCACGGCGGTGTCGAGGACGTCAGCTTGGTGCGCTTGTCGGCGGCGGCAAAGGTTGGCGTGGCGGCCGAGGCGGCCGGTGGGGCGGCCGCCGTGGCTGTTTCCGCGGGCGCGCCGCCGCAGCTGGTCGAGCTCACTTTCCCGCGCTTCTTTGTGTGGCAAGGAGACCGCGTGGTTGTGCGCGACGCGGCCAGCGGCGACCTGATCGCCACCCTCAGCGGCGAGGCCAAGGCCAAGGACGAGTGCGGCGTGGCGGGCTGTGCCGGCTACCTGACCTGGCCCCCGCTCGTCGCCCCTGCCGGCTTCAGCTTCGTCTTCGAGTCGGACCACTTCGACGAGGCAGTGTACGTGCCTCCGGGCGCGGAGCCGTCGCGCTTCTCCGCCGCCGGCTTCCTCGCGTCGCTGCGGCTCGCGCCGGGCTGCTCCACCGACAAGTCGTGCGGCCCGGGAGGCGTTTGCCGACCCGAGAGC